ATAAAATAATTTACTGAATTGACTATTTGTGAGCATGTTGTGAAGGTCTGTGCTGTTTCTTTCTTTCTTTCTTTGCGTACGTGACGCATTTTACCATTGTTAAGGGTCTGGCCCGGCGCTATTTCGAGAAGAAAGCGGCGCGCGCTACTTCGAAGAAATTTAGACGAGTAACATCCGTCAAGTGACGCATGTGGCATTGCGTGGGTTCGACTATATTAATATAATAACAAGTCCATGTCGATCGCTCCTACTAAATCGCTCGCCCAAATTTTAAGAAGATTCTTGAGAAAATGGAAAAGGCCCTTTGGGTATGAAATTGATCTAAATCGGTGTATTTTTGGAAATCAACCCCCATGACGTAGGATAAAAATGCTCTATAATAAACCCTAATACTATAATAAACCCTAATCACAACCCTAACCCTAACCATGACCCCGAAGCTATCCATAACCCTTACAGTTACCGCAACCCTAACTCTAACCCGAGCCCTAAACAATCGAATTTATTGTTTATGTTTTACTAGCCTGTCAGGTGACCAAAACGGTTTTTTGCCCATAACTCTCCAGGGTAGCATTTTAACCCTACGCCATAGGCCGGGGATGATTCGGAATCAGCGTCCAAAAATACACCGATTTAGATCAATTTCATAGTAGTAATCATACTCAAAGGGCCTTTTTGCAAGAATTTTCTTAAAATTTGGGCGAGCGATTTAGTTGTATCACGTGGTGACCCCCACGGTCGTTTCACTATAGTTCTTCGACGATACAGGGGGAGCCGCGCACTTCGTGCGCGGCGGGTCATACAACGTATGACAACGATTTAGTAGGAGCGAAACCTATGACCTAGCATTAACTTGTATCACGTTGTGACACTCACGGTGTGACACCCACGGTCGTTTCACTGTATCGTCCTGACGCGGCGGGTCATACAACGTATTGCTCTATCCAGAGCCCTTGCGCTTGCAGTAGCGCGCGCCCGCCTCACGTGAAACAAGCGCGCCCGAAGTGGCGCGAAAGCACATGGTTTGGTGAATACAACGTATGACAAGCATTAACCTAAACCTAATCCTAAACCTAAACCTAAACCTAAACCTAAACCTAAACCTAAACCTAAACCTAAACCTAGTAAACCTAAACCTAACTTTAATCCTAACCCTTGACGCGGGATGTTACTCGTCTAACTTTCTTCGAAGTAGCGCTAGTAGGTTATTATAAACTACCAAGTTGTAGCGCGATGCACTACTGGGTCGCGCGCGCATCAAATAATGCTTCTCGCAACCAACGTATGCAGATCGGCGAGATGCGAAGGATTGACAACGTGAATCAACCTACCAAGACGCGCACCGAGTTGGACTCGTCGACGGTCTACTATAAGGTCTAGGTCTTGAAACAAATATTTTACGAATATCACCCATTAACTTGCTCAGATTTTAAAAATTTTTGTACCACTGTTTTCTAGAGACTGTGATAATTTTCACAATACCAAATTTGTTATACCTTTTTGGAGCAAAAATAGCTGTAAAAGTTGCGTAATTTGACCATGAAATTCGTTGATTTTTGTCGTATTATTCGGATATATCTTCGGTTCCTTGAATGGGGTAATTCTGAAAATTGGCGACGACCTTCCAATAGAGCAATTTCACAACTGTCCGAAAAATTTGGTGGATATCGGAGTTGATAAAGTGATCAAAATGGGGCAAAATACGCTGCTTTTAGCCGTAACATAATTGATAATGTCTGATGGTTGGATATGCTTGAAATTGTTCGGACACTGCAAGCGAAAGGGCTTTGGTTAGAGCAACTCTGAAGCTAAGAATTTTGACTTGACGGATGTTATTCGTCTAAATTTCTTCAAAGTAGCACGCGCCGCTTTCTTCTCGAAATGGCCCGGCCTATGGTAAGTGCTACAAAGTAGCACGCGCCGGGCCAGACCATTAACGATGGTAAAATAATGACTCATGGCTATGTAAAATCTTAAAGTAGGTAGTGCGCCATCGACAGTGAGCTGCGCGTTCCGACTGTAGGATGGTTTTTTAGCGCTAATTTCGGCCAGCACAATTTTCTTCAAACAGATAGATATTGAGTACTCTTCCCGACCTCCGATTGCAACAAAAATTGGTAAGCTTACTCATAGACTTACAAGGAAAGTGTCCGAAAATTTAAAGCATATCCAACCATCAGCGCTCCTAGAGTTTCTACGATACAGTGGGAACCGCGCACTCGTGCGCGGCGGGTCATACAACGTATGACAAGCTCCTACTAAATCGCTCGACGCTCGTCCAAATTTTAAGAAAATTCTTGTGAAAAGGCCCTTTAGCCATGAAATTGGTTGACGATGTCAACCCATCGAGATCGTCGCTCTGCGAAGCAAGAATGCTAGTTCGTGCGGCGCGGCAGTGGCGTAACGTTGCCTGTTGGCGCCCCCCTGCCAAAAAGGCGCCCCCCTGTTGGCGCCCCCCTCCTTTTGGTGCCCCTCCCTAAAATTGAACAAATTAGGCGATTTAAGAGGATACGCCGGTAAAATCTCTAAAAAAGTGTGTATCTAGAGCAAAACGCGCAGTTTTGCTAGTACTTTAGTTAAGTTTTCGAAATTGTCCCACATTCAAACGACGATTTGGCGCCCCCTAAGACGGCGCCCCCCTGCACAGCGGGGTCAGCAGGGCCCTTCGTTACGCCACTGCGGCGCGTCGAAGCGGCGAAGTCCTCCAAGGCATGTAAGTGATCTAGATCGGTGTATTTTTGGACGCTGATTCCGAATCACCCCCATGACGTAGAGTTAAAATGCTTCTATGGAGAGTTATGGGCAAAAAACCGTTTTGGTCACGTGACAGGCTAGTAAAACGTGAATTCGATTATTTAGGGTTCGGGTTAGGGTTAGCGTTGTGCTTAAGATTATGGATAGCTTCGGGGTTATGGTTAGGGTTAGGGTTGGGATTAGGGTTTATGTAAAACCGTTTTTTACGGCTGCAAAACCAAAAAAACAAAGTCACGTGAAATTTTTGGGCGAACGATTTAGTAAGAGCCAACCATCAGACATTATGTTACGTTGTCATACGTTGACCATTGTTAATGATCTGGCCCGGCGCGCGCTATTTCGTAGCTCGTGCCATTTCGAGAAGAAAGCGGGGCGCGCTACTTCGAAGAAATTTAGACGAGTAACATTTGTCAATGTCATACGTTGTTGTATCACGTGGTGACCCCCACGGTCGCATCACTATAGTGGGTGTCATCCGAATTGCGAGATTCGCGAGAAATCTCAGGTGCAACTGGACGAGAAGAACTCGCGTGCGCGGGGCAGTAGACGCAGTACTAAATTGTTACCGCGTGTACGGGAGAGTCATCTCAGAAGGTTCTAGACTATTTGATTTTGATGTTACATGTTAAATTCTTTGATGACGTGATCGTTGACTGGAAAGCTAAACCCTTACTTTTTACAATTTTCTAACTAGCAACACTTTCTCCTTCTTATTCTTATTTTAGAATGAACATTGAAGTCTCGGTAGATTGATTATTTTTGAAATGTCGATACTTGGATAAGACGAGAAAGCATCTTTCAAATTAAATAAGTTAATCCGGCATTTTAATCAGAAAAAATATTCCAAATTCAATCAGTAAAGCCAGAATTTTAGTCACGATATTTACGATTTACAAAACTCACCTCATATAACTCAAAATTGTATTATTGGTATCCTTATATTAATGTATAACACAACTAAAATTCATCTGCAATATAAATTAACATAGATCAGTGCTTCAAAGAAAAAAGATTGATATCAGACGGTTTCCGGTTCAGCAGCCAAATCTCTGGACTGGTCTCCGGTACTCGCTTACTACTACTAGTCATTTGTGACAATACATAAAGTGTGGTATGTGTTAGATATTTATACGAGGGTCTTTGATAAAAAACAGAGGCAAACCGAGGAATTGTCCTCCTGACCAAGGCCGAGGAAAAATCGCTATTCCTCGGTAAAACCGAGGCCGACCCTTGTATTTACATAGCATACTCTAGAGTCTAGATCTATAAAACGAAGTAAGAGTTACCACGTTACTCTTTTATCTCTCCGTTAAGCCTACAACTCCGCTAACTAACAATTGAGTATGAGGTCAATTAATTAATGTCCACAGATGTGGATTATAGAAATTACATTCAAACATAATTGAACAGCATGAGACAAGCGGAGAACAAACAAACGAATAGATTTCAAGCTCATAACGGATCGTTGCTTGATATTGGAGATTTCAAAACCTTAGTCCGACAGTCTAAGTTCTCTTGTCGAACTTAAGTGAGTGTCGAACTTGAGTCCAGATAGAGCACTTTGGTTCGAGTTCGACAGAGTCGAATCTTAGGGTTTGTCGAACTACAGTATAAGTGATGAACTACAGTGCGTGTCGAACTTGAGTACGTGTACCTAATTTACCATGGTTAAAACATCTTCAAACCGTAAAATGTGCAAAAAAACCTACATTTAAAGGATCCTCCAACATTGTCTACAGCGGGCAATATCCTTTATTTCATAATCACTCAATTCTTCGGAAGTATTCATAACCAAATTACGATCTTTAACATCGTCCATCAATAATTTAAGGAAACTTTTGCCGAAACAACCTATACGCCCTTTTAATTTTGACAGGGCAGCTCAGAAGTAAATGGTTCTTTAAGACAAAACATAGATAAATCTAATCCCTTTAAAATATGCGGCTCAGTTACTGGCACGTTCTTACCAAGACAATTTAAATATACCATCTAGCTTATTCATAGAACACATTTCGGAATACTTAGTGGTCTTAACATTCACCCTAGGCAGAACATCTGGGTGATCATGACTATTGTTGAGAATTTTTGAATCTGAGAATTGACCATTTTCGTCGGGAATACTTAAAATTGTCTTTCTCTGCTGGAGGTTGAGGTTCTGCTGTATGATGAGGATCTGTTGAGGATGGGGATACTTTTATGAAGTAGGGTCTAGGAAACGAGCTACGGAGCAATATCTGTTCATCCAGCTCGGCCTTCTTCTTGTTAAGGTTAATCAAATTGGTCCTCTGACTGTCTTTTTTGGCTCTATCTTTGGATTTCTTCAGTCTCCTGAAATATATTATGTCACATTAGATTATTCATGATACGTAAAGATTTGTTTAAGCATACCCAAAAGGATTTATTTTATATTAATTGCTCATTAATATAATCCAGCATTGGATCTATTTGAAAAGTAACTTAAAACAAGATGCAGAGCGACCAATATCGACTGAATCAATGCTTGGTAGCACAAACCGGAGGTTAGAAATGAATACTTGACCACATGGTCACTTGCAACGTATATCACATACCTTGGTTTTACATTTCCTTTTCAATAACTAAATCAGAGTGACCTCCAATCTCCATAGATGATCAAACGCATGGCCCAACATATAATCGACGAGAATTTTCAAATGATTTTCGGCATTTCAATTCTTGCAGCGGTTGCTGAGTTTCTGAAAAATAAATCATTATAAAACATTATTGGGATTTAATATTGTCTGAAATATTCGAATTTTCGAATGTTGACGACAGACTTCTCGAATGAATAGTTATAAATATTAAACACGTGTGTAACGGGACTTTTGGCCCCCTCTATTATTCCTAGTATATCTATAATATTAGAGCTATTCTGGTGTATCTGAACAACATTAGAGCTACTAAAGTCTGGTGTATCGTAACAATATAAATACTAGTGAAGTATGGTGTATATTAACAATATAAGAACTAGTGACGTCTACGTCTGGTATAACTCCACAATTATAATAGTAGAGCTAATAAAGTCTGGTGTATCTGAACAATATTAGAGCTAGTAAAATGTGGTGTATCTGGTGTATATTATAGAATAGCCATTCTTTATTAGTTAATATAAATTAATTATGAAACTCTAATACCCTGTGGTTAACGTTTTTTCAGTTTCAGCCCTTTCGACTTAGTAATTCCTGATAACTAAAAACTACTTTTTCTCCGTGTTTTAAGCTATTCCAATCATTTTGAGCCTATAAAAAAGTTTTTAAATTTTTGCTCATTAGCTTATTGCTTATTATCCAATTAACTGATTATCTTACGTAAAATTGTCTTCCTGATTATATGAACACCCTCGATAAATCTGCAACCTTTAACGATGTTCACAACTAAAGTTATTTGACAAACAAGAAAAGCGGTTAAGTGGCAAAAAGTGGCCTTATATATATACAGGGTGGCCTTAATAGCTCAATCACTGAGTGCCCAATTGAAATAATTCTTTCTGGTATGACTTACTACCACCACTAGTTCGAGGAATTTGTCAAATCGATAAATATTAGAGTTCATTTTTTTTCAAATGAAGGTTCATTTTTGCATTAATTTGATATAGTTTTTATATAATAGTTTTGATAGTCGAATCGAGCTAAATTTTATTGAATTGTGTTTGGCCATTCGAATTACGTTTGTCCTGAAAAAATTAGAACTGTAACTTCTTAGATGACAGAGATATGAAGCATAACGAGTTTATTCATTACGTGTGATCAGGAGATTGGTTTACCTAATCACGTGATTAGGTGACCCCGTTAACCACCCCGTTAAACATTATGGGAATTGTTAAGGGTGCCCAATTAAGGTGTCGTGTCACGGTGTCACATAATCACCCAGTCAATATTGTTAACAAGATACAGAAAATGCTTGATAACTTGGTCATTTCTAATCCGCTTTGCCTCATGTTTTCGGATCATATGCAACATTTAATAATCTACCGTCTCTGAAAAAATAGGCGTTCAGCATGTTCAGAGAAAACAATATAGGTGTTTTAATATTGAATGGGCGTGGTCTAAAATATTCGAATTTTCAAATTTTGACGACGAAATCCTCGAACCAGTAAGTACAGTATGCCATCTGCAAAGCAACAGCTCTAAAATATAAAACACAGCGGAGCTATTAAGGCCAACGTATGCCCACTGACTTTTGGCCCACCCTATATATTAAGACACAAATCTTTTGTAAGCTTTGTGTGTCGGCAGATCGATTTTATCAGACGGATCTGTCTGTACAACTCGACAATTCACGCAAATCTCGAAGTTCCGGTGATGCACACTCAAATTTTGGCAGAAATGCTGAAGCAAGTGTGGTTTACATAAAACTCTTAGACACATTTTGGTCTATAATTCGGTGTGTCTCTAATATGATATTTGCCAATTAATTGTGGGCTGTGGCGTGATCAGAGCCGCGCACACGTGCGAATATATCTATCAATGGAAATTGGAATGTACAAATGTGTATGGTGTGTGCGAAGCAAATTTAGGAGTGTAGCCGCTGTAATCTATAAAAAATATTATAAGCTATGATTCCGTTTTATTACAGGATCTGGCATCTGCCGTAAATATCACTGATTTTATCAGTGACACACACTATAAACTATGCAATGTTCCCTGTTTCTCTAATAAACTGCTCTAACAAGTACACGGCTAGGGACTGCGAGTACTCCTCTAACGGAATTAAATAATTAAAGTAGAAAGTGATCGATGGAGCGGTTTTTTAGAAGTACAGGAGAGTAAACAGCATAAAATGTAAACAAATGAAAACATATAATGCTCTTAGTAGTAAATGGCCATTTGTTCTGAGCTGTATGGTTTTTTGACAATCAACTAGCGGGGCAAGGAATGTACTGGCTGGTAGCTTTTGTACACACCAGAACGCTAGTCTGGTTGATAGGAAGGCATTATAATTTGTGGGTGTAAGAGGGAATATTTGGCATGTACTATTCTAGCAGCTATTAGAATTAGAATTAGAATTAGAATCAAATTTACACAGCAATACAATAAGAATAAAAAATAATTTAAGAAGCTTCAATCTGCTGTGCAGGACATTCAAGTCAGTCGAAAACTGTTAGCAGAACACCCTTCTAGGGACACTAAGCTATTTTGTAACAAATGGTCTTTACAATTATTAAGGACGGTAAGTATTTTGGGTGTTAAATCATGGCTAAATGTCTTAAGTGGGGGCCGGGGGTTTAAATTTAGGGGAGAAAAAAATGAATGTTGGGTTATAATATTAATCATAGATGTCAACCCTGATATAACTATTGTACTAAAAATTTGATCATAATGCTTAGGGTCTTTATTAGAATTCAAATTGGATACAAAAATAGGATCTCTTTACACTACACTTACTCACTCACACATCACATTCAACTGGAATACGCTTAGCTGGCAGAGTAAGTCGATTTGGTCATGAAATTTTGGAGGTCAGGTGGAATCCCTACAGGAGCCTACGAAATTTTAAGGTTAATAATATCAAAATCTGTATTTGTACAGTCATACACGGCATGACAATGCTGGTTGGCACGGCATGACAATGCTGGTTGGCAAGTGGATTTCAGGCAAGAAATACTAACAGAATAATCAAATATTTTTAAGTTAGGGGTTATTATATTCCATATTTTCGTTAACCTCGTGTTATGGTTGTCTGGGGGATCCGCATAATTTGACCGGGACCAGGACCGGGATGAAAAATGTGACTTGACCGGGACCGGGACCGGGACTGGGATAGCTCAAAATTGCCAATCTCGGTACCGGGATTCCCGGTACCGGGAATTCCGGCCGATTACTGGTTATTCATGATCATAATTTATTACTCAAACTTGTTTAGCAATTTTAAACATTGTTTTATTTGGCCTCAGAGGATGTTTAAAGATGAAATTCAAAATGAATGAAAGGAAAAACTTAAAATCACAGTGAATGAAATTATGTAAAAGATCCAGGCCAAAATCCCGGCAAATTTGAGTGATTGACCTGGACCAAGAATCCTGAATTAACCGGGACCGGGACCGAGATCATAAATCAGCATTTTGACCGGGACCGGGATAGCTCATAATTGCCAATCCCGGTACCGGGATTCCCGGTACTGGGAATCCCGGTCGATTACTGGGCAACAGATCAGCTGGATGCTGGAGAACAGAACCATCAAGTGATCAAGAGATACCGGAACCAGAACCACGATATGGGTTGAGGAACAGAGCAAGTTTGCGGACTCCAGACTATTACAGTGATAACCATCATCTACAATTAGACGGGTGATTAACAATCACGAGCAATATTTTAGTAATGTCAGATAATCTGGCACGGTTTCAAGACTGGGATTGAGTGTTACCCAGGCCCAACCGAGCACAGTTCACCTATCAATTATTGTTGGCATAGTTCTAGCCACGCTGCTAGATTACATCAGTATATGAGTCAGGATGTTTATCAGTAGTATTTTGTCTTTAAACATCTAATAAAAGGTAAAAATGCACACGATACAAATTCCAAACCAATTCTCCACGAGTTTGTACGCTGGGTTGACTGTGATGGACTTTCACTTAATCTAAAAAAGACCTGCTATATGCTTTTCGGTGTTAGAAATACTGACAATACTCCAAATATTCATATTGCAGACACACAATTAGATCGTAAAAGGGAAGCACGGTTTCTTGGCGTTATAATGGATGATAAATTAACATGGTCTAAGCATATCGCAGCTGTTAGAAAAAATGATGGAATTATGTCACCTACTGTAGGAATTATAAATTATATCACCTACCGATTCAAATAAGGCTACAGTTATAAATCAAGAGGCTTGCATATAATGAACATATTGACATTATATCAAAGTTTTGTTCAATCGCATTTAAACTTCTGTTCAATTATATGGGGGTTTGCAGCAAAAAATCATACTGAATCACTCTTCTCACGACAAAACACAGGGTATCAGGCTGCAATCTGCATCTGCAGTAATGCCAGGTTACTTTAATTACTTTTACAAAGACGGTCGACTGCAGAGCACACTAAACAATTTTTCAATGACAATGGTATGCTCACCGTGCACAGTGTTATTGTAAAAAACACACTAATTCTCATGCACCGAAACAAACACTTCCGTAGCTCAGTCACTCAACAAATCCGTATGACCATCCCAGAAAATGCACCCTCTGCAAACTCAGATCACGTGACTGCAGCTTCCTGGTTAGCCGAGTGCAACACCACATATTTCAGATTTTCGCTTGTTCTTTAAAAGAACCTTTACTCTCAATTTATGCTGTAAATGCAAATGTAGCACCCGGCCCTACCCAAACTTTTTTCCATAAACCTTTGTAAATCGGCTACAAAACGCATGCTCTTGAACCTGCAGAGTGAAAATGACAATGACACGTGGCCCAGTTTCCTATTACATAATATTCAGGACTAAGAAGATAACAAACGGGTTTGACAGTTACTGGATATAACGTCATATTACTGCCCCCCCCTATTAGTTTAGTGGAATTAGTTAATTAGTTAATTAGTTAATTAGTAATTAGTTAATTAGTTAATTATTTAAATTAGTTTTAGTTATTTTGTGTATGGATTTTACGTCTTATATTTATGTTTTACAAAAAAAAAACTAGATTGTATATAATACTTTTTACACAAAAAGCCAGAACAAACTGGGCCAGCTAGCGGCAACTAATAATATATTAATGGTGAGCCCCCATCCTAAATTAAAGGTTTTTTTTTCACTGCCCCTTCCTATCATTTTCTCCCTTTAGACAAACCCCATTGATTTTAATTGCCGGACAAGTACACGGTAGGGGGTGCGGTCTATCAGTCACCTATCAATAAGGGTACTCCCTAACGGAAATTAAATAATTAAAAATAGAAAAATGATCGATGGGCGGGTTTTTGAAAACAGGAAAGTAAAAAATCAACGTTTGCATCGTGGATTAGTGATAAAGGACAGTATGGATGTGGAGAAAAAGAACCCTCAAGTGATCAAAGTTCGGAAAACCCGAACCCGTATGGGTTGAGGAAAAAGGAAGTTTTCGACCCTTTGGATTTTACAGTGTAACCCTCTTTACAATTAGGGGTGATGTTTTAAAAATCCAAACATATTTTGTAATGCCCGATAATCTGGCACGGTTTCAGCACAGTTCACCTATCAAATTTGTTGGCATAGTTCAGCCAAATGCTGATTATCAGTATATGAGTCAGGGGTTTATCAGTAGTATTTTTCTGTGGGGGGGGGGGGGGGGGGGGGGTCATGAAATTTATTTGAAGAGTTGACCCACAAAAAGGCAATTGATATTTTATAGATCCCTCAACTTAAGCAGGACTGGGACCTTTTTGTTGGAAAAAACTTTGGCCCTGAACTTGACTTGTTTGATATGTGACTTGTGTGGATGATGTTATTCCGAACCCCCTTATTGAGATAATAGGGCTATAAAAAAATTAACCTACAAATGATATATTTAAATTAATTCTCACCTCTTATTCAAAGATCAACTGATGTATCGGTCCATATCCCAAGATATGACTTTTTCTCTGTTCGTCAACTGCAAAGTGGGCGTAATGTGTTAAGGGTTAGACGAATTGTTATCATAAACTTAACATTGTAATCATGGTATTCACCAGGCAAACATGTACAGTAAACACCACGATTTACTGCTCAGTTTGCAGTTTGAGGGAAAGACAAACTTGTGCGATTAATCGTGGGTGTATGATAAATCAGGGTTTTGATGTGGTTCACAAGCACTCAAGTTAGGGGTAAGTAGGGAAGCAGTTAGAATATTATGAGAATATTTGAATTTAGAATAAGTCCATAACTCACCTTGGGTTTCATCCTTCATGAATGCACAAATAGGTTCCCAGAGAGGTATTATACGTGTTGACCGATATGGAGCTTCAGCAGAAAAGTATAAGGTCGAACAAAAATCCAGTATTATCTTTGACTTCAACACATCTAATAGAGAAATCAGATTCTGGCTAAGTATAAAATAAAATAGCAATAAATATAATCCTTCGTGGACGGTAGTTGTTTCAAATATAAAAGCAAAATCTCTAGAGTCGATTAATTTATTAATATAATAGTCACGTCAACAGTGTTGACTTGACACTATAATAATTTTATTTGGAACAGAAGTTCCAAATAAAATTGGGGCGAAAGAGTCGGAAACTTGACAAATAAGACCAATTCGTTTATAGAGGAGTGTAAGTGTAATACAACAGCTTACACTGCAGCCAGTAAAGATGAGGACAAATAACTGAAGTACAGACATAGTGGACACTGGACGACATGCCATATTTGGATTAATCGTTAATTGTCGGGTAGATGACAGCAAACTAAGTGTAAACAAAAAATATTACATAGAGTTATATTTATAGTAATAGAGTTACAGGTCCAGTCGGAACGGTGCCTTTAAATTAATTGCTGAAATCCGAACGTATGTTCTACTTAAGGCTGTCACCATGATGGTAACCAGAGTTTAAAATGCGGGAGAAGTTTAAGACAAATAAGGGGTGTATAGAGGAGTGTAAGTGTAATACAACAGCTGACACTGCAGCCAGTAAAGATGAGGACAAAATAACCTGAAGTACAGACATAGTGGACATTGTACGGGTAGATGACAGCAAAACCAAGTGTAAACAAAAAATTATTTCATAGAGTTACTTTATAGTAATAAAAACAGGTCCAGTCGGAACGGTGCCTTTAAATAATTGCTGAAATCACGAACGTATGTTCTACTTAAGGCTGTCTCCATGATGGTAACCAGAGTTTAAAATGCGGGAGAAGTTTAAGACAAATAAGGGGTGTATAGAGGAGTGTAAGTGTAATACAACAGCTGACACTGCAGCCAGTAAGATGAGGACAAAATAACTGAAGTACAGACATAGTGGACATTGTACGGGTAGATGACAGCAAAACCAAGTGTAAACAAAAAATATTTCATAGAGTTACATTTATAGTAATAAAAGCAGGTCCAGTCGGAACGGTGCCTTTAAATTAATTGCTGAAATCACGAACGTATGTTCTACTTAAGGCTGTCTCCATGATGGTAACCAGAGTTTAAAATGCGGGAGAAGTTTAAGACAAATAAGGGGTGTATAGAGGAGTGTAAGTGTAATACAACAGCTGACACTGCAGCCAGTAAAGATGAGGACAAAATAACTGAAGTACAGACATAGTGGACATTGTACGGGTAGATGACAGCAAAAACCAAGTGTAAACAAAAAATATTTCATAGAGTTACATTTATAGTAATAAAAACAGGTCCAGTCGGAACGGTGCCTTTAAATTAATTGCTGAAATCACGAACGTATGTTCTACTTAAGGCTGTCTCCATGATGGTAACCAGAGTTTAAATGCGGGAGAAGTTTAAGACAAATAAGGGGTGTATAGAGGAGTGTAAGTGTAATACAACAGCTGACACTGCAGCCAGTAAAGATGAGGACAAAATAACTGAAGTACAGACATAGTGGACATTGTACGGGTAGATGACAGCAAAACCAAGTGTAAACAAAAATATTCATAGAGTTACATTTATAGTAATAAAAACAGGTCCAGTCGGAACGGTGCCTTTAAATTAATTGCTGAAATCACGAACGTATGTTCTACTTAAGGCTGTCTCCATGATGGTAACCAGAGTTTAAAATGCGGGAGAAGTTTAAGACAAATAAGGGGTGTATAGAGGAGTGTAAGTGTAATACAACAGCTGACACTGCAGCCAGTAAAGATGAGGACAAAATAACTGAAGTACAGACATAGTGGACATTGTACGGGTAGATGACAGCAAAACCAAGTGTAAACAAAAAATATTTCATAGAGTTACATTTATAGTAATAAAACAGGTCCAGTCGGAACGGTGCCTTTAAATTAATTGCTGAAATCACGAACGTATGTTCTACTTAAGGCTGTCTCCATGATGGTAACCAGAGTTTAAAATGCGGGAGAAGTTTAAGACAAATAAGGGGTGTATAGAGGAGTGTAAGTGTAATACAACAGCTGACACTGTAGCCAGTAAAGATGAGAAACAGGTCCAGTCGGAACGGTGCCTTTAAATTAATTCCTGAAATTAATACTTTTAAATTACAGTTTAAGCCAAAACGAGGATGAGAATGCCAAACTTTCGACAAACGAAATTACCAGTATCAATTTATTAAAGCAGGGCCGAAGTTGCAGAAGTTATTAAATGAAATGGTGAAGAGGGTCACGAGTTACGACGCAAAACTTAATGACAACTGACAAGGCAGACACATAATGGTCATCACACATGAGTGCAGACGAATTAACTGTTATTGTTAACTTAAAAAGCAATGTGACATTCATTCCGTTTACACCGCAAGCATTTTAAAATAGATCTTTATGTGGCCAAATAATTTCATATCTTAAAAGCTTAGCAACACTACACAAATAAAATAGATCTATAAATGGCCACATACTTTCATAGTTAAAAAGGTTATAGCAACCCTCCGCAAACAATTCATATTAGCAGCACACAAATATTCAGTACAATCACGTATGGTGCGGCGCTTTATTATGGAGGGAACTGACTGAGTTCCCTTTTGGTTTGTTATTGTTTGCAAAACGGCTATGACCCCCTGTAGCTAGCGTCTTCGACGCTACAGGGGGAGCCGCGCACTTCGTGCGCGGCGGGTCATACAACGTATGACAATGTATCGTCAGGACGATAAAGTGAAACGACCGTGGGGGTCGCAACGTGATACAAAGAATACTCAAATCAGAGGCCTGAGTGCACGATCAAAAAGCAAATTTTTTAGGCATAGTCAGCATTTCATAAAAATAATTGTATCACGTGGTGACCCCCACGGTCACTATAGTGAGTTTCGACGATACAGGGGGAGCCGCGCACTCGTGCGCGGCGGGTCATACAACGTATGATTGTAGCGCGATGCACTACTGGGTCGCGCGCGCGCATCCAATAATGCTTCTCGCAACCACCTCGTATGCAGATCGGCGAGATGCGAAGGATTGACATCGTGAATCAAAACGTATGACAAAAATAACACACGCATATATCATTTGGCGAGACATAAACCTTCGGTTTACTTACTTACTTATTCATTTAGGGGCAAATTCGCTTCTCTTTTCCATTTTCAACATGAATTGCTTGCTTATAACCCGTAAAAATATTATTTCCATATTCCTGCGAATATCGCACAGAGGGGAGGACTCCTCAGACTCCCCCTCTCATTGTGTTTTTCCCGGAGGAGGAGCCTAGTTCATCCGTCTGCATCGCTTAATCGAGTTAAAAATTTAGCCAATAACAAACTAAATTACATGTTATACTGATATCAGGTGTAAAGTTTATAACATCAAACATACAAATTCTAAATTTTTGACGGCTGACGATGGTAAGTCGCTACGTTTAATTCGGGACTTTTATAGTCTTAAGTCTTGGAGCTCAAAATGTCTCGTGCTGTGGGCCGTATAAACGGCGCACACCACCGCCCCGCCTTACTGCTCACATTACTTCATGGTTGCGGGGCGGAGGCCGGTGCCGTTTGTTTCGGCCTCGAGTGGCGAGTGCTTGCCCATCGAATACACGATTGAAACACTTATTATTTATTGGCATTCTACAGTCTCCAAAATAAAAAGAAGTATGAAGGTATATTAACTTTGAGCGTTGTTTTGGCGACTGCTTCATCGATGGGCGAGTAGGTATTTGTTGTTTAGCAGTGTTGAATATTGGAGCAATTATATAATGTATATCTTCATCATAATATAGGCTAGTGTAAACATATAATAAAAATATAATATATAATCAATAATACAAACAAATAGTATTAGTAACTCATTAGATAAAGATTATAAATGTTATTTGAACACATATGTTTACGTCAATTATTACTAAAATTAATATTCTTTTAGCTTTAATATAATTACATGTCACATAATTGATTAGTTGAATGAAACGTGTGCTATAACAAATGTCTACGCCTCACGCAGAACTGCGTACCGCTTAGTACTTCATGCTTGAGCGGTACTGCTGTTCACAGAGGCGCGCACTCAATTTAATCACAAATAACGAGCGCGCGGTTTTTGGAATCTCTCCATTATTATATTAATTAGATCGCAGTGCTCACGGCCTGTACTGCGTGAACAACAGAAATATCTTTTAAATTATTTTGCTTCTGAAATTTTTGCTCTAGTAATTAAGAAATGCGACATGTAATTGTAAGATAACAATTACAAATTAAATAGGTCCTGTGCGCGGCGCCTACAGCTGACCTACGAATTTCTGAACAAATGAAAATTGTGGCTGTGTGCGCGGCGTACTGTGTATGTGTTTGAAATTGAAATTTGAATTTATTTACGAATATAAAATTATGTATTGATTGTTTTGTGGTAAATAAAAATTTTTCTTTACTAAAAAAAATTTTCTTTCCTAGATCTGCGAAACCCATCCTATTGTTGTGGATCTCGTGATGTAGAATGAGCTTTAGAGAATGTGTTGAATGAACAATCTGCAACCATATGCCCTGGTTGGTGGCATATAATGCAAGGTACCTTAGCTTTGGACTACTACTCCTTCTCAT